TCATTGCACACATGTATAGTAGCTCCTGAGTCGAGCCACCAATCAGAGGATTTTATTGCCGCTACCATATTCAGTTCGGTAATCATGCCAATATGCATCATTGATACCATTACAACAATGTTATCAATTCTAAAGTTGTCCACCATATTTCCGCTATTGGTCTTATTGGCATATTCATCACTTGCTTTTCTGTGTCTACAATTACGAATGTAATAGCCTTTCTTTCCACAATGGTAGCAGACACCATTTGCATTCTTTTGATTCTTGTTGGAATTGGTCTTTTTAAATTTCCCTTTGTCAATTTTGAGTTTGAAGTTCTTTTTGTATTTGTTTCCTTCGACAATGTGAACTTTGGAGAAACCTTGATTTGCAAAATTCTTATCACAATTTCGAGTTTCTTCTTCAATTTGAATACCCTTTTTGCAAATCCTCCAAACTAATATCTTCCACCATGTGTAGAAGTTTCTTTGTATAATTATTCCATGTTTGGGGTAATAATAGCCCCAACTATCATAGGATCCGAAATAACTATTTTAAGCTCACGAAGCTTTGAGACCAAGACCTATAATTCATGAACTTGGTCTAGGATGAGTTTGTTATCAAACATAGTGAACTCATAATATTTGAACATTAAAAATTTATCGGTACCTCTTTTCTCTGTTGTGTACTTGTGTTCGAGTGCTTCCCATATTTCCTTTGGAGATTGAATGTGTGCGTACAGATCATATAAGCAGTCAGATAATGTGCCCAAGATATGTCCTCGACATACCAATTCATCTTCTTCACGCTTCTTTCAATCGGCAACTCTTTTGTCCGAGTCTTCGTCACTTGGTTCACGAATAGGCTCCAATTTTAGGTCCAACACATAAATGACATTTAGAAAAGTAAGCATGAAACGCATCTTATCCTTCCATCGAGTGAAGTTTGATCCATCAAATTTGTCTAGCTTGTAAACATCTTGATTGATAATCTTCAAAGCCATGTTATCAAACTTGTTCTCCATGATGAAAATAACACTTTAAGATTGTTAGAGTAAATATAGAAACATAGAGAATAATCCGAATGATGACTTTAAGGTACGACTTAAATCGTTTCCTTAAAGTGTTATTTGGCCCCACTCGAATGAGTTTGCTAAAGGGTTCTTGGCAAGTCACTTCCAAGATACAACAAAGTATGGAATGTTCGATTAGCAAAACCGAATTGTATTCCCTTAGAAATAACTAGAAAGAAATTGAATGAATGTGATGGAGAGAAAAGAGAGTAAGGAATGTAGAAACAAATTTTTGAAAATTGTGTATGAAACATTATGCTATAATAGGTATTTATAGGCATTAAAACACCTGTTCATTGAGTCCTTTCATTTTAGTTGAAGATATACAAACCTTCTTAATAGTGTTGACCCAAAAGACATGTCTTTTATTTGGAATTTTCAGAAAATAAATATTGATTATTTATATCTTTTAATTCTACTCATACAATTTGAGTAAGCATCATGTCTTTTAACCAAAAGTTGTAGTTCAACCAAAAGAGACAAGGTTGAATTAAATCCAACCTTTTGGTACCATCATTTTCGTACACACATTCTGCACAATGTAGCACCAATATATTATGTATATATATTATATAAATATATATATATACATATATAACATATATATATATATATATATTGTAGTATGCCACATGCTGCAATGCGCTGCAATGCTTCACTCGAAGAGAGGCAACGGTTAGGCATATACCCAACTTTTCAACCAACAAATATATGAATATATTCTTGAAATATTCAACATCTCCCAAATGTTATACATGAATTCAAAGCACTTAAATTGTTGCATGAAAATAATAGGTTTTGTGTTGGTTTTTGTAGAAATTCACAAATCCTATTAAAAAAATATCGTGAATATTATTACTATTATCTCGCAATTTTAATGAAAAATGATTATGTTGAGTTTCTAAAAAATATTATCAGTACGACATTAAGAAAAATGTTATAATGCTTAAAAGCGGTCTTACGGTCTTACCATTTATTAAGGCTTTTTATGTTAGCACTCCACAAAATGTTGAATGCACCTCATATTTAAATTTAATATTAAATGACTTATTTACCCTACTATGCAATGTCAATTTTTGACACTTCCCGACCGAAATCAAGGCATGCTGGATCACCTTTGGATGTTGTGTAATTAGTATTCTTCTTCTGGACTGCACTTAGGTTTTCTATACTCTGATACCAAACTGACACATCCCGACTGAAATCAAGGCGTGACGGCCAGCACGCCTTGATTTCGGTCGGGGTGTGTCAATTTTGACCTTATTAGATTAAAAAAAAAAATCTAAATACACCCAAAATCACTTTTAACGTATTATTTATCTTCTTCAACTACCAAAATCCCTCTGACCCTCCATTGTTGAACAAAACCCTAACCAATGAAACTACAAACATATTGATTGAGAAAAATTATTTTTGACGAATGAAACAAGAAATTGATGTTTCGGAAGCTTCACATGAGGTAAGACTTCATATTTTTTATTGTTTTAGTGATTTTGACGACATCGATAATTATTTAATCTTGTTTTTGCTGCGTTATTCAAGCTTCTATGTTCGTATTTATCTTTTAGGGATCACATTACATGAAGAATTAAACACCTAAAATTACCACCAAATATTAAAAACAAACGACATGAGTTTTAATAGTGGAATTGAAAACAACCCACCTATGCTTTAAATCCAAGGCGACATCTTTTGTCAAAATTTCAATCGGCATTTTTTGTCCAAATTAAAAGCTTTATAAGATTTGAGAAATGTGGGGTGTATAGAAAATATGGGACGTATGTAGAAAATGTAAAGTGTATATTGAGAATGTGAGGTGTGAGAGTATTATGGGGAAATATGTGGGGTGTATTAAGATAATTTTTCATTGAAAAAGCATATGTGGGGTGTATTAAGTATGTGGAGTTTATTCAATAATTTGTAGGGTGTTAATATAACAAGCCTTTATTAACTCACATAAGTATACTTTTTTTTTACTAACTATGTAAGTCAAAGGAATAAAAATTAATAAGACATAATAGTGGGTGCCAAAACCTAGCTAGAACATCTTCAAAATGTCCTACATGAATTTAAGAAGCTTAAGGTTACGCTAAAAAGAAAAAGAATATATTTTATATTGAAATTTCCAAAATCAATTAAAACCGTGAGAACATATTAGCTCAAAATTTAAGTGAATAATGTGATCATTGAGTTTTAGCGCAATAATTTTTGGGAATTGTTATTAACACTCCAAAAATCTCATTCTACACTCCAAACTTTTTATATTAGGAAAGAAAAATACACTTGTGAGGAGTGTAGAATGAAATTTTTGTAGTACCAATAACACATTCCTAATTTTTATGGGCATTAACAAAATATTATAAGTCATCTAAAAGCGGTCTTATCATTATGAATCATATAAATATTTTTTATTGAGTACTTAAGCCAAAAATAGAAAAACTAATAAAACATGTTGGCAAGACCCATATCCAACATGAATTTTAAAAAGTCGAAAAACAACCTAAAAGTAAATTTTATGATAACTTTTGTGGATTTTTCCTCAATCTTTCACTTCCCATCAATTACTACACAATTGGGATTATAGTTTTTAGCATATCACTTATATTTGTGCCAACTGGATGCTCGATGCATTATCGACAGTAAACAAACATAAAAAGGCACCCCAAACTAACACGGTTCTCTATTTTGCAAAAGTCAGGACGACATCAAGCAAACATGAAACATAAAATACAATCTACTTGTAGCAAAGTGACAAAAAGATTACATTAAATTAATGTAAATTTGTAATGTCAAATAAGACTCGACGAACACGAAGTGGTGTGGACTAATTCAGATATTGCAATATTGGCAGTCCAAAAGGCAATTTTTACCGTTGAATTCAAACACAAACAACAAACAAACAAAACAGCTTTGAAGTTTTCCCTTATTAGTTGTTAATTGTCACTTAAACAAGCCAAAATGGATGAGATGGATGATGGATGTGGGAGGTCCGGGGTTCAATACACCAAGTTTGTGAGTTTACCTGACTGTAGTTATGGATAGTGTAGAATTTCCCTTAGCCTTTCTGGGCCAGAAAGAGGTGGAAAACAGTGACTTATTACCAGCTGTCCACCTCCAAAACAAATGATGGATTATGCCCACCACTTAGACGTTAGAATATTCATACGATGTGCTTAGCGGTTTCTAAACTGGCTTTACTTGCATCACTCACTCTTTCCTCTAATGTTTAATTATATTATATGCATATAACCACCAACTTATCAACAACTTGAGTTAAAGATACTCCACTTGTTTCAAAGTAGAACATACCCATTCAAACATTTGCTCAACATTTATTATTTTAAAAAAGGTTTCATTAGCCAAAATGATTCATGAGGTTGTCATAACTTCTCACTTTAGTTTCTGAGATTTAAAATCGATATAAACGGTTTTTCAGATTGTCCACCATCAATCATTTGATCTTTCTGATATTGTCTCCCAACTTCACCACGTATTACAAGATGTAGAGTTTAATCATAAAAAGACCTTGAGAATACTAAATGAACTTTCCAAAAAAATGAGACTTTCTACGAACTATCTGTCACCTCATATTTTTAACACAATTGTTATAATATTAACACTAAAATTAATGTTAAATTGTAAGATGATAAAAAATTAATAGAAAATTCCTATTTTAAGTCTCCTTCCGCCGCCAAATAATTAGTCACATTTCAACTTACGAAGGCAGATTTTCACATAAGTAGGCACCATTGCTCTCTCATTAGGGCCAGCTGGACTCAAAAGACAAGGTCCGAGAAGCTTGCCAGCCACGCAAGGCCCAATAAGATTTATGGCAACGAATTTAATAAAGGGTTAGGTGAAATCCAACGAAAGTTCCACAAAAGGTCATGTAATTAATACAAAATAGCAAACAGTGTCCATTTCTCTTCGTACAAAACCCCCCCTCCCCTCCTCCTTTCTCACTCATCCGTTAAACCCTTCTCTTTCTCTCTCTCCTTCCCCCCTCAATTTTCAGTTCATCTCTCAGAGTTAATTCACACAAGTTTTTCGATTTCGAGAATGTGCGGTGGTGCTATAATCGCTAAGTTCATCCCTCGCGACCGTCGCGGTCGTGTCACCGCCTCTGACATATGGCCGGACTCTCCCTTCGCCAAGTTCGATCCCGACACTTTCTTCGACTGCAATCCCACCCCAGTTAATCGCACCGACTCAATTCCGCGTAAATTACCCCAACCCATTTCAGGTACGCTCTTTTTTCATCCGTATGTTGTTTTTCTGCGAGTTAAAAGATGAGAATTTTCGTTCGGTTTGTGACTGGGGATTTTTCACAAACAGGTGATGTGCAAGAAGAGAAGCCAGCTAAGAGGCAGAGGAAGAACCTGTACCGAGGCATCAGGCAGCGCCCGTGGGGCAAATGGGCGGCCGAGATTCGTGATCCCAGAAAAGGGGTTCGAGTTTGGCTTGGTACCTTCAACACCGCTGAGGAGGCGGCCCGAGCTTACGACAGGGAGGCTCGCAAAATCCGCGGCAAAAAAGCCAAGGTCAATTTCCCCAACGAAGACGACCACCTCCCCGCCAAGACGTATCTGAGAAACCCAAATCCTAATCCGTATCAACCCAAAAGCTTTGATTTGGGATTTGGGTATGATCTGAACCAGATTGCGACATTTCCCTCCAATTCCATGTCGATTGAGTTTAACTCCATGGCTAATGTGAACACCGACCCAATTGTTGTTTCCGGGGAAGAAAACTCTGTGTCTGGTTCAGATGGCGCTTTCTCCTCAACGGGCTTTCTGGGTTGCAATCAGATCGGGAGCGGCGGTTGTCACGGCGGAGCTGAGCTGACAGAAGTGGAGGAAACTCAAGAAGGGAAACGCAGCTTGGAGTCGATTGCAAGAATGGAAAAGGACGAAGTGCAGAAGCTTTCCGAGGAGCTAATGGCGTATGAGAGCATGATGAAGTTCTATCAGATTCCGTATCTGGATGGGCAGTCCACGGCGGCTCCTCAGAATCCTCCGCCTCAGGAAAGCGCCCTTGGTGATGATCTCTGGAGCTTCGATGACGACGATGACGTTCCTGCTTCCCTGTGATTAATGTTATCTGCTTTTGTTAGTTTTGTTTTAATTTTGGTGGTTGTAAATTGAGTTGGTCAGGGGAAATTGATGACTTTGATCATTGGTTTCTTCCTGATTAATCTGAATTGTAGGTGTTTTATGTTTAATTAGTTTGTTCTTAATTACCCAAAGACAATTGCAACTCTCTTTAAATTATTCAATTTTGTTTCTAATCATCCTCTTTGATTATGTATAGTCCTAAAACCATCTCCAAAGAGATATCAAATTTTGACAGTTTATGTGGCATTTTGACATCTTTTAAAGTTTTGTTTTCTAACTTACATATCAAATTAAATTATTATTTTATAAAATAAATTATTAAACTAATTAAAATTTAATAAAGAACATTTAAAGTTTAATCAGTAATATGTTCACATTTCTTGATTGAAAATAAGAAATAAGTAGGATAATTGCATCGGTTAACTCAACATTAATTATAATAAATGATTAAACTAATTAATAATTAATAAAAAAACATTTATAACTGCTGTCAAATTTGATATCAACCTTTTTTGCTACCAATACATGTCATCGCCACATAGAATTTGGCACTTCGGTTGAAAAATATTAGTATGGTTTTTTTTTTTATTGTTATAACTGATGTGTATGTTTTAGCATTTCATTTAGGGATGCTCTAAACAATTCTTCCTTCTAATTAAAAAGAAAAAGAACAGAAAAAAAAAGGTCATATAAATTCCAATTTCACCTGAATTTCAAATCAATCGCGACATTCCAACACCATTATTTAAAAAACTTAAAAAACGTCCTGCACGTTGTGTTAAACCGCAAAAATGCTTAGTCATATGAGGAACTTAAAATACATAATACCGCACAATTTGTCGGTGAATCCCATTCCATTCCTCCCCGTTGCGGCGGCGCCGTTGTTTTCAAATTTCCTGTTTCGCTCTCTCAAAAGAATTATTATTATTATTATTAATTAAAACACGATTTATTTCCACTTTAGGAGGCGCGTGGTTTTCCAGTTCCCAGTGCGCGCCCACAGTTGCCGCCTTTTTGCAAACTTGTACGTTCCTTTGTACTACTTGTCTGTTTCTTCTATTGTACTACACTACCAAACACGCGATTGCTGGATGGGCCTGATATTGGATTGGACTCGGTTGGGCTGCCTTCCAGCCCACTACACACCCAAACACCACCCCCGGGCAACTCGACCTCACCCACTCGAGACTGGTCCGACTCGATGTGTCCTTTGATTGGACGATTATGTGGCGCGCTCGTCGGTAAAGTTTTTTTGGTAGCGAACTTCAAACGATTCTTAATCGTTGAAGAGATTGTTCATATCTTTAGTTACTATTTTTGCATAACTATTTTGTCACTAAAAGTTAATCTTATTTGGCAAAAAACATGGATGAAAGAGAGGTGAGAGGAAAAAATAGAGACAACTGATAGGGTTACTAGGCTGTGAAGGGGGAAAAAAAAAAAGAGTCATTTTGGTTCCAGTCTCTAATCAACCTAGTTGTTAGAATGAAGTGTTATTTGTTTAAATAGTTTGATCAAGGTCCCTAGCATCATTTAAGGGATTTAACTCATGCATTTATGTTTGACAAAAAAATAAAATAAAAAAAATTCATGCATTTATGCATTCAATATCCCACAAATTATGAAATTTAAACAAATCCAAATAATACTGTTACAAATATAACAAAAAAAAAAAAAGTACCTGCGTAATTATTAATATAGTGCAAGAAATAAGTATTGTATATTTTAAAACATAAAATGAACACATATAATTAGCATGGGTACGTTCATAAAAAAAAAAAAAAAAAAAATTGGTACAAATTAAATTAAAAATATGGGTACATATTAAAAATCAAAACTATGGGTACAAATTAAACTGCAAATATGGGTACATATTAAAATTTAAATTTATGGGTACAAATTAAAACTAAAAAGAATATTCGCATAAATTAAAAAAAAGGATACAAATTATAAATAGAAATATATGAAGAAAAAAAATACTAAAAAGATTATATTTGAAAATGATTAATAATTTTTCACTTTTAAATTGACATATAATGACTTGTAAATAGTTAAGTTAATATTCAAATCATGACATGAAAAAAAGCCAAGGAACCTGGATCAAAAACGAAAAAGAAATAAGATTTCAATGGATGAGAATGAGAAATAAGAGATGTGAACCTAATTTATCAAAAAACAATATATATTGTTTACTAAATTGCCATAACATTGTTAGATATTTGTCTCTCCCGTCAAGAAATAATTATTATTGTTAATCAATACGTATTACAGAGAAAATATTACAAAAACAAAACCTGTGCTGTGCACATGAGAGTTTCATCCTAAAACTGTCCGAGACTGGTTGGGAAATCTAAGCTGCAACTTTACATGATAAGTGGCATAATCCACCCCATTCCCCGATGGCGGTTGCTGATCATCTTGATCAGTTGTCTGAGCAAAAACGGCAACTCCTCTCGCAAAAGCAAACGACCCCGTTCCCCCCATCACCGTAAGCTCCTCCGTGCCTTGGCGCGAAACATGCTTGGCCTCCACGCTGAGGCTGCCAGAATACTGAGGCGTGTGGAAGGTCAGATAGATTATGTTGAATCCCGAGTTGGCAAAGTGCTCCACGGGGATTATGAATCCCTGCGCTTTCCCCACCACACGGGAAGTGTTCTCGGGTCCCTCGGTGAGCATCCGGTGGAAGATGAACGCTCCTCCGCTGCTGTCCGGTTGCGGTTGTTTTCCAGCGTTATTTGAGCCTGCAATGTTGTTGTTGTTGTTGTGTGGTTGTTGAATGTATAAGGAAAGGTCGAGCCACGGCGGCGACGGCTTCCTTTTGGGTAGTGGCGAGAACAAAGCCAAAAGGATTACTGCCAGTGTCGCCAACAGAACCGCCGTGCAGAAAATGATCCGGGACAGCATCATTCCTCATGCATTTGAAATTTTTGTTGGCTACTTGGGCAGATGAGGTCGGATATGTTGGGTTACGAGGCCGGGTTTAATACTATTGTAGGTATTGTTGTTTAGGCCAACTAATCCACATTGCGAGCTCCTTAACCAACCATAGCAATATCAACACGCAAGGGTTTTATTTTATACAGTCCATGGACATGGATGTCACTTTTATGACTCATAAAAGGATAAGGCAACTCAAAAAAGGAAACGACTTTGTGCACACTTTTTTTCTTCTTCTACACGTAATTATGGGTGTTCGGTGGAGTGTGGTGTAAAAAAATGATAGGGCTCAACCAAACTTAAACAACAATAAGTTTAGGGTTGAACATCTCAAGTTGTCACAAGACTCACAACGAAAAGAGAGATCAAAACCAAATTTGTGTCTCATTGAGGTTTTTTTTTAATTTTTTTAATTTTGGAGATCTTGGTAATTTTATATATGTGTATAAGAGGAGTTTTATTTTAAATGGAATTAATGGGTGTTCAGACACAAAATGTAGTTGTACAAAGAACCTCTCAAATTTTTTTTTTTTTTTTTGAACAAACGATATTATCTAAGGGGGAGAGGGTGGGTTTAACCTTATAATGGGCTTATAATAACGTGGTTCAAATTCGCCTTTGACAAAAATCAAACCTAAGACCTCTCATTCTATTAGATCGTAGTACTAACTACTAAGTGACAGAACCACTCAAATTAAACTAGTAAAAAAAAGGGAGTTTTAACGAAACACTTTCGATATTGTTCAATTTTAACGAAAAATCACATATTTACCTTTCTTGGTACTATTCACTACACATTTATTTGTCATTTTTCATTAAAACTATTTTTTTTGAACTTTTCGTTAGTTTTCCTTAAAAAAAAATTCCGAATTTATTGTTGGGCTGGATCACCCATCTAAAGAGCCCACATAATACAGCGTAGAAGAAAGAGGCCCATGAAATTATAAGGCCCAGTCATATGACGAAACCCTAGGTCGAAACTCTAAAACCGCAAAAGTTGAGCGATATATAAAAACTTGTGTTCCACAAAAGCTCAGCCTCTCTGCCCACAGCAGTTGCCAAAAAAACAAGGAAGGAGGTAAGACGCCGGCGATGGTTTCGCTCAAGCTCCAGAAGAGGCTCGCCTCCAGCGTCCTCAAATGCGGTCGCGGCAAGGTCTGGCTCGACCCCAATGAAGTCAGCGAGATCTCCATGGCCAACTCTCGTACGTTCATCTTCTCCTTTCCCTTAATTTTCTTCCTCTTATTCCTTCCTGTTGATCTGCTTATCCTGCACTGCTTAATCCGTTTGATTATTTTTTAATCCATTTCTTTAATCCCGCGTTAATCCACTGTTTGGCTATCGTGAAAACTTAAACATGTAATTACTGTACGATTTGTGCACGGTTGTTGAAGTTTTGAGATGCCTATTAACTGTTTGGAACTAGGTTTATGTGAAAGATTATATATTTGGTTTAGATTTAATCTACTGTTAGTTTTAAGTACATGAGCTGTGGATAATTGATATCGGGATTTATCCTGAGTGGTACCCTTTATTATCTGCAGATTAGTATTCAGTAATTAACATTGGTTTAATTGTTGTAATCTGGATGTTGTTTTAATTGGTCATTTTGTTGAGATGTTTCCGTGTTGCAACAATGTTGTAGAGCGTAAAGTATTGTTGTGGCGCGTAAAGCATTTTGTAGTCGTAGAGTGTAGAATATGAATGTGATGTTTTTGTGTTGAGATGGTGTATGTTTTACTTGTGTTGTATGTGACTTTTCCCCGTATTTTCTACTTGTGAAGTTTCACCGATGATTTGCAACTGTTTAAGTGGATGTTTGGGTTGACAGTATTGGGAGGCCAATGTTTATTGGCCTTTCTGCCTTTTCGTGGATTGTTTGTTACTGGGTTTGATTCTGAATTGCAGGCCAAAACATAAGGAAGTTGGTCAAGGATGGTTTCATCATCAGGAAGCCGACCAAGATTCACTCTCGCTCTCGTGCACGTCGTATGAAGGAGGCTAAGAGAAAGGGACGTCACTCTGGATATGGTAAGTCGATTTTCTATGTGATTTTGGCTTAGCTGTTTTGGTGATCATACATACAATATGGTTTGAATTTATCCAAATGAGCTAAAAGGCACATTTTAATGAGCGGTTGCTTAAATTTTTAGGTAAGCGCAAGGGTACCAGGGAAGCAAGGCTTCCGACCAAGATCCTTTGGATGAGGAGGATGCGTGTGCTCAGGAGGTTGCTTCGCAAGTACCGTGAGTCGAAGAAGATTGACAAGCACATGTACCATGACATGTACATGAAAGTTAAGGGTAATGTTTTCAAGAATAAGAGAGTGCTGATGGAGAGCATTCACAAGTCAAAGGCTGAGAAGGCCAGAGAGAAGACTCTGTCTGATCAATTTGAGGCTAAGCGGGCAAAGAACAAGGCTAGCAGGGAGAGGAAGCACGCTAGGAGAGAGGAACGCTTGGCTCAGGTATTGTCACCTTAATCTGTTTACTGATTATTCTGTAATTCATTTGAAATTCTCACGTTGCTGATTATCCTAATATGTGTTCAGGGACCTCAAGAGAAAGCACCAGCACCCGCTGCCCCAGCTGCAGCTCAACCGACACAGTTAGTACCCTTACTTGAAACCCTAATATGCTATCTGCTGATCTTGTCTGTGTTGCTTTTTGCTGATTAGGTTCTCTCTTTTACTTGCAGGGTATCCAAGAAATCAAAGAAGTGAGTGCTCTATGAGGAGAACTGATGGATTGATGACTTGTTATGGTCCATTTGCCTTGATTCACTTGGTTAGATTAGTTTTGACGAGCAAGTTTGTTTGTTTGTTTTGTTCTTCAGTACTTTATTTTCTAGCCGAAAGAGATTTCAAAATCGTTGTACTTTGTATGAAGATTAGTTTCTTTTATCTATTGATCGGTTTTTGGTCCCGGAACTACTTATTTTGGCAATCGGATTTTATATGAAATGCTCGTTTAAAAAATTTTACAGTGTTGTCCGATTCATCTTAGTTATGTTTATTATCTGAAGTTGTCCAGGATATCGGTTTCTTTCAACCTAATTACCTGGTTTGCCTCATTCGGATGAGGATTTAACACTAATTAAGCAACAATTGCCATTAACAACGTTCACAATTTTAAACACACAAATTTCTTCCAACCTCAACATCCTAAAACAAAATTCCCAGGTGAGCTAATATCTCTGCCAAGCATCAAACATTGATTAGTGTGTCCACTGTCATTCAAAGACTTCTTTGATAACGTGCATTCGATGAAGTTACTCCGACACAATCCCTAAAGGCGGGTTTGTGTCCGATTACATCTCCGCTTCCATAACTTGCTTGTCCTTTAGGTGGCATCTGGACCTGGTGTGTTGTTGTATCACTATGATTGTCGCATATCCCTAGTTGGACGATGAATGCAACGATACTCCCTCTGTCGATACCCTCGCTTTCAATCCAAATATGACCTCCCATGGTGTTTACAAACCTAATCCAAGTCATTTCAGAACATAAGGTGACCAAGTTGGATGAATAGGCAAGAAAACAAAAGCAGGATGCAAAATGGTGAAAGATCGGAAAGTTTTCAACTATACCGTTTGCAAATGGCAAGTCCAAGTCCTGCACCATTGTTTATTCGATTGGATCCATTTCGAGGCTGAGAAAACTTGGTGAAAAGATGACGAATATCTTCTGGGAGAACACCACAGCCAGAATCCTTAACCTGCAACAACAGGAATGCCATTAGATCACGTTGCTTCACTGTCGAAGTTACTAAGAGATGTCTCGATCTCAGCATACAAAGACAACGATAAAATGCACAATAATTGACCTGAACTCGTAGGTAGAAGTAACCATCAGTTGACACTGGATAAAACTCCGGTGGTTGCCAGTCTCTTGAAGATTCTGATTTCGCAACAGACGCTGTAATTGAAATATAGCCCTGCTTTGTGAACTTCACAGCATTACCAGCAACGTTGAGAATAGTTTGCAACAGCCGATTCTCATCTCCAACGGCATACACAGGTAAGTCTGGGGATAGAATCAAAGTCATAGACAACTTCTTCACAGATGCGACGGGCTGTACCAAATTCATTACCTACAGTTTGGAAACGGTTTGTATGTAAGTTCACGAAAACCAAATTATTCGAAAGTAAACATTCAAGCCCCGAGTCTGGAAAGTTTACCTCTCTGAAAACTCCATGGAGGTTAAATTTTTCAATGTCTAATTCTAGGCTATCATCTTCAAGTCTAGAAAGATCTAAAACGTCGTTAACAAGTGTTTCCAAAAGGTTGCTACTCTTTAGCGCTGTCTCTATCATAAGCCTTTCTTCCGGAGTCAGTTCCGTCTCTAACAGAAGAGAAGACAATGCAACGAATGCATGCATTGGTGTCCTCATTTCATGGTTCATGACAGCAAGGAAATCATTGCGGGCATGGATCGCCATCTCTGCTTCTCTCCAAGCTAAATCTAAAGCATCGTTCTGCTCCGTGAGCTGTTTACGGGCTCGCATAGACTCTTCCAGAATAGCAGCATGTGAAAGAGCAACAGCTACCTGCGCCCAACTACACTTGTTATAACCTTTAAGTACGTGTATAGGAATCATAAGGAACACAAGCGACATATCCGTCGTTAATACATTAGCCCTTCAAATAAGCGTTGTGAAATAGAAAGAAAAAGAGTCAAATAAAACACACCTGATCTGCCACAACATCAACCAGCTCCAGTTCATGTTCTCGCCACGTTCTGGTGCCATCCGTGGGTAGAATCAAAACCATAATTGCGTAGCTTTTGGCAGAGACATCCGGCCAGTCATTGATTTGAAAATTTGAAAGATTTAAAAGGGGCACCCGCAGAGCAACGACCTCAGGTGGCACATATCTTCCCACATGTGGTCTGATTCTTGCCAGTGGGCAGGTATATGGTATACGAATCGCTTGAGAACTATTGAAGACTTCGTTCACTTCAGGAAGGTCTATTGACACAGAGGACCCAGCTTGTATATGGTAGTTCAGAGTGTGAGAAAGCTCTAGGTTCATACCAGTTCTGGACGGCATCCATAACGCGCATTCCTGGAGGCCTAAAGTTCTACCCAACTCAACAAGGGTAGTTTTCAAGATAGTGTGCCGATCCAACGTGCTTCGAATT